TATATATATATAAAAAACAATAAATTTACTACTTTCTGAAATATTGTATTTCTTATGCTTTTGTACTTGTACAATAGAAGTCTATGTAAAATTCTAGGCTTAAGTCTTAGTAACAACAGTGTGGTCTTAGAAATTTGAAACAAAATTATAATATGCAACTTAGAATATGAAATATTGCTGCTAATGTAAAATATAATGTCCTAAAATTAATATAAGTTACCTGGCTTTCTAACTGATCTAGAAACCAGTCAAATAATTCACATACCTGGTCATGTGAAATTTCAATCTGGCAAACAAAGACAACAATGGCAATGTGTTTAAAACAGTTTATTCCACTTTGCTTCATTACACTGAAATCTTCTCTTTCTATTGGTTACAAGTAATTCAATAGCAAATGTCAGAGAGAATTAGTGAAATTTATTGAAGAGGCTGTGCTTGGTTTTCAGTTTATTGCTCAAATCTCAATAATGTAAAAAGCACTATCACTACAAATTGACAGTTCAAAAATAGGTATAGTATAAGTGTGAAATTCTACAGAAAGTTAAAAGGTCAAATATACTGTTAAGAGGTGATAAATGTTGATAATGAAGTTGTTTAATTAAATTTTGAATGTAACTTTGGAAAAAGGTAGTGACATGCACACAGTGAAGCCCCTGTGCTCCAAGGAATAAGAGAAGAAACCAAATTAATGTAAGAAAGGATAATAATTTGTATCAGAAGTTCTGACAGAAATTAGTAAAATTTTGTATCTTTTTCTCTCTCTTGAAACCAAGAAATATAAAGGTAAGGAAGATAATATTTTGAATGTGAACTAAAAGTTTTAAACAATAAGTGTAAAACTTTCATAAATTGTAATGAAAAAGATGAATTACTAACCTACTGAGGAAAGAATGAACCTTTGGTTTATACAATATGCTCAAGGGGAGTACTGCACATTGAGGATGTGTTCTCCTCCTATTGGTGTTGATCTACAGTGTAATTGCTAATTACATTATAAACTGTCACAGTATACCTTAATACATATAGGGGTGGGAGTTTCATTCAAAGCTTGGTGCATGCAAATGAATATTTTTGGCAGTGGCATACGGTAACAGCTCTCAGTTCTGTAATTAGGTGAGTAGCACCTCTGAATCACCTTTTTTTTAAATCTAAGTAATGTGCAAATATTGAATAAACCATAGTGAATACTTGAAACTGCTAATGTTGTTATGAAGTATAGGTAGTGTACCGGTTTGGGAAATGTTGTTGTGGCATGGGTTAAGTTATTTAATTTCTTTATAATGGTGAATAAAATCCAGAAAACACCTGAAAACTGTTACTGACCACTCCAATATGATGTATTTTAGTGTTGTTTCACAGATGCTCTTTCATGATAACAGTGCACAAATTCACTATGCTTATACAATTCAAAGTGGTTTGAAGAGTAAAGGAGTGACTTCAACCATCTTATTTTGGTCAGAATAATCACAATTTCTCAATCTGATTAAGCACCTTGGGCGTTGTAATTCACTACCAATATCTGGGAACCAACTCTAGACCATACTCTTTAATAAATAAGATGCAACTAAAAGAGGCGCCTTCTGGCATATCACAGGGTTTAAACTAAGCTGAATCATGTTATTATTGCTGTTAAATGTGGCCAAATTCAATGTTTGGTGGGGGGGTTGCAAGGAAATGGCCATTCAGTATTTGTTTATAATAGTCAAGTGATATTAAAAAATCATGCAAGTTTTATTTGTCACTTGTTAAATAAACTTGGCTTTTAAAATATAATATGATAAACAAAACTAAGGGGAAAAAACAAACAATACACATCTTGAAATCATACAGTAAAATGTAGTTAAGACACACTTAAATCATAACAATATACAATAATAATTTTGTTTATAAATATGATATAAAAGTATCTTGAGTACAACACTAATAAACAATACAGTTAGCAAATGACCAATTATACAAGAAGCATATGATCAAGGCTAGAAATATTGGATTTAAACATAACAATACTTTACTGTTCTGCACATGTTCCTACATTATAAAAAACTGGATTATTACATGACATTTTAAAACAGTATCAATTCTGAAAAAAATAAAATTTTGTTAATTGCTTGTTTTAACTAATTATATTTTTTTCTGTACTATCTAACAGGAAATGTTTGACATAACCATCTCTGTTAATGGCACATTCTATAGGTTTTTTTCAATTAATTCTTTTTGAATGCTTGTTGAATAAAATTGACAACTTTTTCTGTAAAGTACTACTTTTAATTACTCTTTACTTTTAGTTATTTTCAAAAATTTACTTTCTGCTTCTACAGTTCTGTTGTATCAGATTTTGCAAGTTTTCAGACATTCGTAAGATCCCATAATAATTAAAAATTAACAATATGACACAACAACATACTACATTTAAAGCACGTTTTATTGTTCAGAATTAACACTATTTCTCATATTATGTTTGAATAATTTATTAAAACTGTTATTTACAGTTTTATTGAAAGTTCTACATGTACATTTAATTTACATTTCATGATCACAGAAACATGGTGTATTTGATTCAACTGTTGCTAATCTAGAAAAAATATATTTTGAAAATGTGATGCACAGAGACGTTTCACTTCCTCTGTAAAATAAAAAATCAAATCATTAATATACTTTTGACATCATATTTTGTGAAACTTTAATTGTTCTTATACAGACTGCAGTCAATTTATTCTTTAAGAAAGAAAAGATTTAAGGGAAAAAGTAACTA